CGACCACCCCCTGCCCGGCCAGCTGGCGTCCCGCCTCGCCACCCGCCCGCCTGTGTGGACTCGACAAACTAATGACATTCCGAGGTTGGTTGTCTTTTATCATGACATTGGCAAAACTATCGATTTTCGTCGCGAAAAGGAAAGCTGATTCACACCGATTTATTCGCATCAAAGTGGAATTAGCGGTTGGATTTGTTAAATTTATATCGAGGAGAGAGGGGGAGGGTGGAGACTAGTAGTGGGTAGGGGAAAAGAGAGGGACGAATGAAATGAGAGAAGTGTTTTGAAAAGAGAAATTGGCTGAGGGAACTGGGAGAATTGTTCTCGATGCGTTGTTGGAATGAATCGAGTTTTTAGTTGAGTAGTTGGGCTGGTTAGCACAATAGTTGTGTTCATTGAAGTATAATTTGTTAAATTTGTTCAAGATGAGACGGCTCAGGCAAGAAGACCCAGCTGTTCAGCAGCTTCGACTCATTTTGTGAAGTGGGGAGCAGGTTAAATACATAGGCAAGGTTTATAATTTTATATAGTTCCGAAGAGATTTTTATTTCTCTGTTTTCAAGTCAACATTTGTTGTGACTGGTTTTCCAAAACAATTATCAACAGTATAATGATGATGTTCTGAATGCTACAGATGGAGTGTGATCAGTCTTGAGGTCGCGGTGATCTACCTCCTTAGAAGAGCTTGGCAGCGCCGAAGCTGCCAGCACCGTAGGTGCCGAAGCCAGAGCCGTAGCCAGAGCCGTAGCTGCCAGCGGAGAAGCCGCTGGTGTAGGCGGGGGCGGAGTGGAAGGAGGCGCCGAGGGAGGCGCCAGAGTAGAGGGAGGCGCTACCGCAAGTGGTGCAGGGAGCAGCGTATGCGGGGGCGGCGTGGTAGACCTGGGGGGCGGCGTGGATGACCTGAGGGGGCGCGTGGTAGATGGTGGGCTGGGGCACGGGGACGGGCACGGGCACGGCCTGGTTCACGGTCACGGGGTGGGGCACGGGCAGACGGGGACGGGCACGGGCACGGCCTGGTTCACGGTCACGGGGTGGGGCACGGGCACGTTGTAGGGCTGGGGCACGGCAACGCGGTAGGGCTGGGGAACGGGGACGGGCACGGCAACGGCGCGGGGCACGTCGACGGGGACGGCGCGGGGCACCTCAACGGGGTAGGGCTTGGCAACGGGCACTGGCACGGCACGGGGGGTCTCGACGGGCACGGGCTGGGGCACGGGCACGGGCACGTGACGGTCGACGGTCACGGGCACGGGCTGGGGCACCGGGTAGCTGACGTGCTCGTCGCGCTGGCTGTAGGTGTGGCGGGTGGGCACGGTGTAGGTGGCCTGGTAGCTGCCGGAGTGGCCTCCGGTGATGGTGGGTCCGCTGGAGTAGGTGGTGGCGGCGAGGCCGCCGGCGGAGTAGCCGCCAGCGGCGAGGCCGGAGTAGCCGGAGGCACCGCCGTAGGCAGCGCCGCCGTAGCCGCCAGCGGAGTAGCCGCCGGAGTAGCCGATGGAGTTGGCGCCGATGGAGCTGGCGCCCAGGTCGTAGCTGGCGCCGTGGATGGCACCGCGCTTATCCTTCTTGGCTTCACCGGCCAGAGCCACGCCGCAGAGGGCGGACAGGAGGCAGACAACCTGCGGAGAGAAAGAGATGGTATAGATGTAGGGTCGGTAGGCGCCGATGGCCAGCTTGAAGGCGGAGCTGAGCGAGCAGTGGAGCCCCCTGGAGTGAACGGCGACTTACCACGAATCCTCTCATGTTTAGGCTTGGGTGGTTTGTCGGAACACGATCGACTGATGCTGGTCTGGTGGTGTGGAACCCCTTTTATACTCCGGATCGCCCGGGACCCATCTCCTTTTGGCAAATAGTCGGGTGGGGGCCTAGACGGTTTGGCCACTTTTTTTTTCGCGCGTACGATTCGCATTTGGTTTGGCGACACGGGACCCAGTTCAGTATCGTGCCATCCTTCCGCCTGCTGTTGGTCCACTTTGCGTCCGCGACAGGCTCAGGTCCACGGGGCTGCGGGCGGGGCCGTCGGCGACCAGCTGTGCCGGGTGGGTCCGGCACCGGCCCGGCACCTGCCTGTCGTTGAACCCTCAGTCGCTGCAACCGAGACGCATGCACGAGGTGACGAGCCCCTCTGCGAAAGAGACCTGTGCAAGTCGAGGTTTTTCCCTTCGGATCCCATGAACCGAAGTTTGGGAATTCGCGTTTGAATCGAATACGACAGAAAAATCGTTAATTAGGTGGAGAAAGTTGTGCTATTATTTCCCTCGAGGTCTTTTAAACTGTCCTTCTACCAACGGGTAGCTCCGTCAAGTCTGACGCCCGCGACTGAATACATTATCTGTACGGCGCGCTTTTTCAAACAGCGGAGCCATCGCGATAGCAAACGCTCCGGCGCCTATACATGGCCCTATGCTACGTACTTCATTACCGACAAGGTCGTAAGAAAAAGTCCGACGAGGAAAAACGGGGCGATAAGGAAAATGTCCTCCCCACGCGCCTCGCAGTGCTGCTGCAAAGAAGAAAGAACACGACTAACTGCAACAGCAAACGAAGGGCGGAAAAAAAGGACAGCGAGCGATTTGCGAGAGGGGAACTGGCCGGCCCCTCTCTGCTAATCGGATGTGATCAAACTGGAGTGGAGCCGAATCAAACTCGCGGGTCGTGCCGCCGAAGGAAATGCGACCAAGTGAAGCGTTGCGCCTAAACTTTCGGCTCGGCGCAGCGCGGGGCCGGTGCACGCCGGCGCTCGGCTGGCGTAAACGACCGACAATTTGGGGGCCGCCACCTGCGAGCTACCTGCAAGGCACCTGCTAGCTGCCTGCAAGCCCCGCGCCTCTCTCTCTCTCTCTCTCTCTCTCTCTCTCTCTCTCTCTCTCTCTCCCCTGTATTGATCCCTTTCACAGGAAGCAGAGCGATGAGGCCCGTCCTTGTCGCAGTGCTCTAGTTAGTGCGGTCTGAAGAATGCCAGAACGGCCGTTTTCACATTATTGAGGCTGGACACTTAACTAAAGGTAACATCGGGCCCTCTTTACTTTTTTTTGGTTGTTATTGTCGTAGGGGTCCCTTCCGAATGACTTTCCCTTTTTTTCCCCCGCAGATACCTCTTCATGTCTCTCCCACACTTTCCCGGGCGCGGTGTGGTGTTGCGGTATGGTGTGCGCCGCAGACAGGCACTACGACTACAGCAGACGCGATGACAAAAGCCAGACCGTTACCGTTTTGGCGAGGCCGTTGATCGGCCGGGGCGGCGGGCGAGGATGAGCAGCACCAGCAGCAGCAGCAGCAGCAGCAGCAGCAGCAGCGGTCGGTCCGTTTAGCATAACCCGACCAGCGGAGCCGCGGACGGCCTGAAAAAGCGGCTGGCCCGTTTACTGTGATCGCCGGCTTTTTATTGTGCACCGGGAGAGATGTGCGCGGGGGTCCCACGCGCGCGGCCAGAAACATGATCGCCGCTCTGGAGCCTCTCTGCTCTTCTTTGCTATGCGGACAGACCGACCGGCGTTGTTTGGTCGACTTATTTTTGAAACGCTTGCAACCTAATTGTCAAGGTCTTTTGTCAAAACGGAACTGGGTTGGTTGCGGACAGGTGTGTGTGGGGGGCGAGAGAGTGGGAGCGGGGAACCAGATGAGATCACATTCCTTATACAAAAGAGCAGATTATCATACTGTAAAAATAAATACTTTTATTTGCGGTTTTCTTTTTAGCAAAGACAGGTACAATAATTACAGACGACGCAACAAGTAACAACCCAATTCTGGCAGTGACATTTGATTTCCAACCAAATCAGGTCGAGCGTTTAAAATAAACTTAAGGTACTCTGTTTCAGAGGATCCGGCAACTAAATCCCCTCAGTGACGCGAATCTGACGAAGCCAGTCGAGTAAAATTTTACATGACGTCTACCTTAAGTCCTCGGAGCTGAGCAAATTCCTTCTTATGCACAATCCTTTCGTGCGTCGACGAGTTCAGGCGCGCTTCCGGATGACGCGTATCTTCTCCACGGCGTGCACGACGGTGACCGGGGGCCGGCCGGGCCCGCCGGGGTAGCGCGCCATGAGCGTGAGCGGCCTCCTCGGGTCGACGGGCTCCCTGAACCTAATCCTCGGCGACGCGATCCTGAGCCTGAGCGTGCTGCCGGCGGCCGTCGGCCCGGCCGCTGGCCGACGGGGGCCGGGGCCGCGGAGGCGGACCGGGCCGGGGGCGGAGACGGGGGCGGGGGCCTCGGCGAGGAGGCGGCACGGCGGGGCGACGCCCGCAGCGGCGCTCGCGGCGCACGGCTTCCGCGGGTCTTGCGACACTCTGCAGAACAACACCCCAACAGCGCTATTAGTCGGGCCCCGGACCAGCGCCGCCGGAACACGTCTATTTCAGGGGGTGGGGTACTTTTCTGTCACGGCTCTTTAGGTTCTTGTGAGAAGAGCTTTTCAGACGCCCTGGTAAAGTTAATTTATCAGCCAAAAATGTTACTTAGTTTGGCGATGTCTGTGTATCACCTACACAAAAATACCTCTCTTTGCAACCTTTCGTTCAGATTAAGTTCGGTGAGAAAAGTACCCCACCCCAACGTAATATTGTGTACGACCCCTTACCATGGTTCTCACCGGGGAGGTCGCAGCCTGTGTCTGCCGCGCACCGGGTGCCGGTAGGCTTGGACGGCGTCGAGCTCGGAGGACGCCGTCGACTCGGACGTGTCGTTGATGTCTGGGTCTCCGAGCTCCGCGGCCGGCGCGTCCACGGCCGTCTCTCGGAGGCTGTTAAACTGCGAGTCGCTGTCCTCGGCGGGCGGGAGTAGGTAGAAGGGCAGCGCGGGGTCGGTGGCGTCCTCGGTGAAGGGCTGGAAGCTGGGCTGGAACTCGGTGTCCACGTCGGCGCCCGGGTGCTGCGCGTCGGGCTGCCGTCCCGCCGGAGGCAGGATGGGCTGGAAGCCGTTGCTGATGGCGCCTCCGATGGGAGCCGACGTAGTCTCCCCGATAAAGGAGTGCAGCGGCTGGCTCTCCTCTGGGTAGCGCGGCTCCGTCAGCGGCGGCGGCGACGGCGTGGCGATGGGCGCGTACACCACGGGGCTGGCGGCGGTGACCGGCTGCTGCTGGTGGTGGTGGTGGCTCTGCTCGGGGTGCGGGACGTGCCTGGGGACGTGCTCCGAGCCCTGCTGCGCGGCCGGCTGGTGCTGGTGGTGTTGCTGAACGAGGTTGGGTGGAGGGACGTGTCTGTTGACGTGCTCCGAGCTCTGCTGCACGGCTTGAGGCTGGGCCGCCGGCTGCGCCGTCTCCTTGGGCACCTTGAGCATCTTGTGCTGCAGCTCGTGCAACTTCTGCAGCTGCTCCAGCTGCACCTGAATCTGCTGCGACAGCTGCATCTGCAGCTCGTGGTGGAGGGTGCTCTCGTGGTGGCCGAGGCTCTTGGCCGCCGGCCGCGGGCTGGACGCGGCGGGCGTCGGCTCCTGAGCGGCGTGCGGCGCGTAGGTGTGGAGGGCGGGCTGCGGCGGCGCCGGCGGTGCCGCGCCCGTCTGCTCCGAGTAGTACGTCGGCGCGAACGTGGTGGTGTCGGCGACCGTGTCCGGCGGCGTCGTGTACTGTCCCAGACGCCAACAAAGATGATTATTAGCACGCTGATCTCACTTACCCAGTTCACAGTCACAGGCGGCCTGCCTCACCTGTGCCGAGGGCGGGTGGTGCTGCTGCAGCCGGAACTCCTGGTACACGCTGACGGGCTGGTGCGGGGCGCGGGCGTCGAAGTGGTCGTACTGGGCGTAGGTCTGCGCCGCGGTCGTCAGGTCGGCGGCGGCAGCGTCCGCCTGCTTGGCCGTCGGCGAGTGGTGGCCCGACCGCCCCGGGTGGCTGACGTGCACGTTGGCGACGACGCCCCCCAGGAGGCCTGGCCACGCGGTGACCCCGCGGACGGGTCCGGTGCGCGCCGCGAGGGTCCCCATGAGCGCCCAGGACCAGGCCCCCAGCAGGAGCGGCAGCGTCCGCACCCGGCCCGGATCCATCTGGGCGGAAGATAAGGTTCTGCGTGATTATCCGCTTGAATCTGAATCAAAAGATTTCCGTGCAGCCCGATGCTGTTTTAGCGTGGGCGGGGCGGGGCGTCGTCGCCCAGGTTGGAGCTACAGGCGGAAGGAAGTTTCATCACCGAGCTGCGCGCTTACGCGTCTTACGCCGGGCGGGGGACTGAAAGCAGCAGCCCCCTTCTGATCTGTTATCCTCGGTGCAATGGTCACGTTCAACGGCGGATGATAACGTTTTTGATGATCCTAGCCGCCCCCACTTCCCCCTATCCCCCACCTCCCATCCCCGTCGTTGCAGAGCTCGCTCTCTGTGTAAACCGCTTGGGCGCCCGTGGGATTAGATCCCTCCCTCCCGGCACTGCGTTTAGCTTGTACTCGTTGTAGTTCGGTAACAACCTCCCTCCCTCACCCTCGCCCTCCGTCGCGTCAATGACACCGAGTCAGGCCATGACCCTTTAAAGCAGCCGCTGCAGAGGGATTGTGACCAGGATACAGATATTGAGTGAATATGAGAGAGAGAGCAAGAGGGGGGGGGGGAATAATGCATCGATGCGATATTGACTGATAGACGTTGTCTGTTACAAGAGATGATAGGAGGGCGGTATTCCTCTTTGGACCCCTGCCGGCCTGCCTCTGCCACTCACCTGCTCGCAGAGGTTATCCGTGTCCGTGTCCGTTGCCGTCCGCCTACGCAGCCGCTGCGTCCGGAACTGACTTCCCGGCTCGGCCCCGCCCTGTACTTATAACCCCGGCACCCGGGACGATAGTGGCGCAGGGCCGGCGCCATCCTGGTGGGAGAGGGCGGAAGGGAAGGAAGGGGCAAGCCGTGAATGAAGTAAGAAAGAAAGGGAATCGAGGGTAAGCGAGGGGCAGGGGGGGGAGGACATGCCTGCGGTTGGTACGCCTGCCATCGCGCTTGACAGCCCTTAGCGGATCAGCACAACCAGGGGGCAGGAG